GCCTCCGCCTCCTCCTCCTCTCCTCCTCCTCTTCCTCCTCCCCCTCCTCCTCCCTCCTCCACCTCCTCCTTCTCCTCCTCCTCCTCCCCGCCTCCTCCTCCTCCTCCTCCGCCTCCTCCTCCCCCTCCTCCTCTCTCCTCCTCGCCCTCCTCCTCCTCCTCTCCCCCTCCCCCCTCCTCCTCCTCCTCCCTCCTCCTCCTCCTCTCCCCCTACGCCTCCTCCTCCTCATCCTCCTTCTCCACCTGATCATTCTCTTCCAATTCCTCATCCTCCTCCTCCTCCTCCTCCTCCTCTTCGTCGCCCTCCACATCCTCCTCCTCCTCATCCTCCTCCTCCTCCTCCTCATCCTCATCCACCTCCTCATTTCTCCTCCTCCTCCTCCTCATCATCATCATCATCATCATCATCAGCAGCATCAGCAGAATCAGCATCAGCATCATCATAATCATCAGCATCATCATCAGCAGCATCATCATCAGCATCATCATCAGCATCATGATCATAATCATCATCATCATCATCATCACCATCATCATCATCATCATCATCATCATCATCATCATCATCATCATCATCACCATCATCATCATCATCATCAGCATCATCATCATCATCATCATCATCATCATCAGCATCATCATCATCATCAACATCATCATCATCATCAGCATCATCATCATCATCATCCTCATCCTCATCATCATCATCATCATCATCATCATCAGCAGCATCGGCATCAGCATCAGCATCATCATCATCGCCCTCCTCTTCCTCTTCCTCCTCATTCTCCTCCTCCTCCTCCTCCTCCTCCCCCTCCTCTTCCTCCTCCTTCCTCATCCTCATCATCATCATCCTCTTCCTCCTCCCCCTCCTCCTCCTCCTCGTCCGCCTCCTCCTCCTCATCATCATCCTCCTCTTCCTCCTCTCCTCTCCTCCTCCTCCTCGGCCTCCCCGGTCCTCCTCTCCTCCTCCTCCTCCTCCTCCTCCACCTAATCCAGCTATCCATTATCCTCCTCCTCCTCCTCGCCTTCATCATCCTCCTCCTCATCATCCTCCTCCTCATCCTCCTCTCTCGCCTCCTCATCCTCCTCCTCCTCCTCGCCCTCATCCTCCTGCTCCTCCTCCTCCTCCTCAGCCGTTATGGCACAACACTCTGTGCTCGCGGGCCCCAACACTTCAGAAGCGTGGGGGTTCGCGAGCCTGGCTGCGGAGAAGCCAGGACGGCGCGCCGAGCGCCGCACCGCGGGGCAACGCCATCGTGCCAACCCGCCCTGGCAGTGCTGCAGGCGTTGCATATTGGACTTGGTACTACAGGTTCTGCACGCACGCTCGGACGGGAGAAAGGTGTTTCAACAAACCTGACAAGGAAGTCTGTTTTCAATGCCGGCGATCGAAAGGTGCATGCCTACATAGCTACAAGGCGACGAACAGTCCCAGCACGCGAGCTGCAGAAATGGCACCTTGGAATCAGACAAAGCTGCAGCTCCAACAGGCTCAGGATACGATCAAAAAATTGGGGTCCCAGCTCAAAGATTCGAGAAGCAAGTCGGCAACCAAGGAGCTGGAGTCCATGGATGTCGATGCTGGCGAGGAGGCCAGTGCAGGCGTCACTCAGGATGGGCATTTCAATATAGACAAGGCTCGAGCTCGGTTGGCTAATTTGGACAAGCAGGTCGACATTGCTGGCAACTGTGAAGGACCCGCTTGGGCCACTCTCAAGGCTGCTCTTTCGAAGGAGAGAGATGGCATTCAGGCGGACATCAACAAAAGGAAGCCTGCGGCGGCAAGAATGCTCAATCCCACTCGCAAGATGGAGGTCATGGGCGGCCAGACTGCCAAGCAGGAGACAGCTACTGAGGACAAGCGTGCGCGGCTCCACGAGCTGCAGGATAAGATTGGGGAGGCTGGGGCGGCCGTGGCGGAGATGAAGGTCAAGCTGGACGAGGTGCGGGCTCAGGCGATGGAAGTTGCACGGGCCTCAGTCAAACCACCAAGTGGATCTGATGATGCTGGTGGCCGCCAGGTTACTGGAATTGGGCTTGATGCTACGATGCTGGGCAAAGTTCTGCAAGACATCGGAGCAAGCGACCAATCTGACAAGCTGGTTGAAGGTATGGCTCATGCGTTGCCACACATCATTGCCAATGCCAAAGTCACTAGTGTAGGTAAGGCTGGTGGTTCAAATGTGGCGGCAGGTTATGACAAAGCTGCTAGCATGGCGGCTGCTCAGTCTGCTCAAAAGCAAGCGGCGGTCACTGAGGCTAAAGAGAAGGAAAAGGCTCATGACGACGCCAGCGAGGACGCGCTCAAGGCGATGTTGGAGGCAGCAGGTTGCGCGGTGCTGCCAAGAAGCTACTCCAGTTCAAGCAGCAGAGCAAGGTCTTGGTGTACTAGGAAAGGCTTTGCGACGAGATGTGGCATGTTATTGTGGTTTGCGATGACTACTTATTCTGATGGTGATAGGGCAGCTACATTGAGGGCTACTGCAAACGAGGTACCTTCTATCATGGAGTTGGGCACTGATACGGATTGGTTGCTGTCTCGCATAGGATGCAGGCCGAATGCCCAGCCTAACCCCGCTCGCTCGCCTGAGCACCCTGAGTCGGTCGACGGGGCCATGAAGCCCTCGGCCTCGGGCCCCCTGGGGTCTTCAGTGTGGACTTGCGACGGGGAGCAGCGGCTGGACGCGGCCCGTGGCGGGTTGGCGCCAGGAGGGAGCCAAAGGAAGCCTCACGCCAACAAAAATGACAAATCACGGTGCCATTACCGGAAGATGGTGGCACATACTACTACCGTCAACTCTGATGCTGCTGGACCTCTGTTGCAATATGTTGAACAGGCACGAGGCGCTGCTATTCTCGCTCAGGAGCATAAGTCTGATGTTGGTATGATGCCGAAGCTCCAGCAGCAGCTCAAAAACATCGGCTACCATGGAGTATAATGTGCTGCCGGGAAGACAGACTTGGATGGTCTTACTGCAGGGGCGGCTATCATCGTGCCAACGTTTGTGGCGATTACGGTGCCACCTCTGTTAGCTTCGCCTGTTATCGGATGTTGGGGGGTGACATCGCAGTGTAACGGAGTCCCCCCACCGGGAAATCGAGTTTCGAGTTCGCGTTCGTGCCGCGCGCGCGGGCGAGGCGAAGCTGCGTGGCCCAGCGAGAGGAATTCACTCTGCTCTCGCTAGGGGTCGCCAACACAAATGTTTCCCCCCCCCCCGGCCTTGTCAAGCGGTAGCCCACGTTGTCCCGTCGGTTGCCCGCCGGTTGCTCATCATGGTTGCTCATCATGGTTGCTCATCATGGTTGCTCATCATTGTCCCGCCGGTTGCTGATCATGGTTGATCATCATTGTCCCGCCGGTTGCTCATCATGGTTGCTCAGCATGATTGCTCATCATGATTGCTCATCATTGTCCCGCCGGTTGCTGATCATGGTTGCTCATCATTGCCCCGCCGGTTGCTCATCATGGTTGCTCATCACGGTTGCTCATCATGGTTGCTCATCATTGTCCCGCCGGTTGCTCATCATGTTTGCTCATCATTGTCCCGCCGGTTGCCCATCATGGTTGCCCATCTTGGTTGCTCATCATGGTTGATCATCATTGTCCTGCTGGTTGCTCATCATGTTTGCTCATCATTGTCCCGCCGGTTGCTCATCATGGTTGCTCATCATTGTACGCCGGTTGCTCATCATGGTTGCTCGTCATTGTCCCGCCGGTTGCCCGTCATGGTTGCCCATCATGGTTGCTCATCATGGTTGCTCATCATGGTTGCTCATCATTGTCCCGCCGGTTGCTCATCATGGTTGCTCATCATGGTTGCTCATCATGGGACACCATCACGGTTGCTCATCATGGGACACCTTCTCTTGCCTCTCCTCCTCGTTGCCTCTTTTTTTTGTTGTTGTTTGATCTCTAACCTGTTTACTTACACCTCTAGTTCGGCTCAAGGGCTCAGGCCATGCGACCCAAGTCGGTCAGCTCGTCGCCTTTCTGCTAGGACGAAAGCTCGATTGCCATTCATCGCACCCCTCCTCCTCTCCTCCACCCTCAGAGGATGGCGGCCACTTTCATTTGGTATCATGGGCCGGGGGGTGCCGTTCTTGGACCACTTAGTCGTCAGAGGACAAATAAATGCCGTTATGTATTGGCCACGCCGTCCTTCCAGTTCCCCTGCTTGTGAGAATTTGGCTTTATCATCATCTCCTCATCGTCATCGCCGCCATCGCCATCATCATCATGACCATCTTCATCTTCATCCGCCTCGTCCTCCTCCTTCTCCTCCTCCTCCTTCTCCTCCTCCTCCGCCTCCTCCTCCATCTCCTGCCCCTCACTGTCCTCCTCCTGCGGCTCAAGGCGCCCGCTGCCGTCGCGCTACCCCGCCAGGGCGCCCTCCTCGCGCATTTCTGTGGCCGGGCAATCCACGAGATGGGGGGCCGCGTGGATGACACGAAGAAGGCGGAGCTCATGAAGCACGCCGCCAGTCTTGGAGCCCCCGCCAGGAAGCCGGCGGCGCCGACGCAGCGGCGCGCAGTCAAAGACGCGCGCGAGGATTGCAAGCTGCGGGAGGCCGCTCAGCGGCAGCCTTCCCCGGCGCGCGCGGGCGAGCCAGGCGCTGCCAGCTCCGACCTGGCGGCGCCGTCAGTTTCGCATGGGTCCGCGTCGGTGCAGGCCCCGGCGCGCGTGGGCGAGCCAGGCGCTGCCAGCTCCGGCCTGGCCGCGCCGTCCGTTTCACGCGGGCCCGCGTCGGCGGGGGCGCCAAGTGCGCGCGCGGGCGGGCCCGGCTCTTCCAGTTTGAGCCAGGCAAGCAGCGCCGTCCGCCCCCGCCACGGCCGCGCGGAAACCGGTCGCGGGGGCGGCCGATGTCACCTCCAGCGACGCGCGGAACATGAACCGGAATGAGTTGCGCGCGCTGGCGACCTCATTGGGGGTCGGGACTCGGGAGAACACAAAGAGCTCGGAGGCGCTCCGGGCGGCGCGCTGTCGCGCCCTCCCGCAAGCCCCGCAGCGACAGCACTCCCGGGCGGGCGCGAGTGAGCCAGGCGCTGCCAGCTCCGACCTGGCGGCGCCAGCAGCTTCACGTGAGCCCGCGTCGGGGTCTCGCACTGCCAGCTCAAGGCAGGCGCAGGTTGAATCCTCCGTCTCCGCCACCGCGACGCAGAACCCGGCCGCGGGGGCGGCCCATGTCACCTCGACCGACGTGCAGAACATGAACAAGACAGAGTTGCGTGCGCTGGCGGCCTCGTTGGAGTCGCAGCTAGGGGCACCCAACAGTCCACGAGGCTTCCCCGCTCGGCCTGTTGTCGCGCCCTCAAAGGGCAGGTTGGAATAGCTTCCTTTTTCCAGCCTGCCATGGCTCCAGGCGCCCCGGGCCGAGAAGCAGGCGACGCGCCAGTCTCTGACAGCGCATCCGCAGTGGATCCAAACCCAGCGAAGCCGCGCGAACGACCGAGGGCCGTCCGCAAACCGTTGTGGTTGCGTAAACCAGCCTGGTTGTCTGCGCAGAAAGCGCTCCAGAAGAAAGTTGGGAAGCGGCGCGCTCAGCGCGCGCTCCGCAAGGATCGCACCCGCGACAAGATCCGCGACAAGCGCCCTCGGCGCGCATCCCGCAAGAAGCTGGCGGCTGCCAAGCGGGGCAAGAAACGATATCAAGAGGACTTCGCAGAGAGAGCAAAGCGCAAGCATCGAGTGTTGAAATCCCGCAGGGAGGCGCCCCGCGCGAATCGGGGGCGGGCGATGCCGAAGAGCGCCAGGGCAGAGCGCGCTGGCGTCCTCGGCAGGGAGGGCAGCTGGAAGCGGACGGCGGAAGAGTCTGCCAGGCTCTGCCAGCAGAACGGCCCCAGTCACTTACCGCCGCTTTACGCGGGGCTGGACCACGAACACCAGCGGAGGCTGACCTCGCAAATGCGCGGGCGGCGCGCGCGGTATGATTTGCCTGCCGAGTGCGAGTTCTCGCGCGCGCAGCAGGGACTCAGGGCGCAGCAGGCTCAGTGGTTCGACTCGGGCGCGAGCGTCATCACAAGGGCCGGCAAGAAAAGCCGCGTGAACCAGTGGCGCCTGGAAGCAGCCGGGTCGGTGGGGGAAGCGCAGTGCTACCTAGCGGCAAACTGCCCTTCAGGGGAGTGCGAGAGCATCGCCCGCAGACTGCGCGACCCGGAGAGAAAGAGGATCATCACGATTTGCGGTGGATGTCACATGCACGTCGGCGAAGATCACGTTCTCCCGCCCCCCGCCGGCGAGATGCGCATGTGCGATTTCGTGGTGGGCCCGGTTTGGCGCGCCCCGAGGGGCGATGGGCCCGCGATCGCGCGCGGGCGCTTCGATGGCGTTCCCCCGCCAGGCCCTGCCAGCGAGGCGGGGTTCTCGAGAGTGCTCGGTTTCAGCGCGGGCGAGTTCGTGCACCCAGTGGCCGCACTTTCGGACCACGAGGAAATGGCATTGGCATTGGCGCATCCGCTCGTGCAATGTAAACCATCCCCCGCGCGGGTCAGTTGGCGCACGTCGGCCACATCTGCAACTTTCGCCAACAGGTCAGCAAGTTCCTCAAGAGTCTGCCGGTCATGCCTGCGGACATGCCTGTGGCGCACGTTCGCCCCCGTGCGCTAGGCTCTGCCGGCGCCAAGGGAAAGTCGGCGGGCCGGGCCATATTCAAAGTCGACATCTCCAAACTCAAGGCTGCCTTTTTATCGTTGAAGGCGAACAACCCATATCATGCGGAAGTTGAGTGGCGGGGCGACGCCGCCGAGGCGTGGGCCGGCGACGACGTGGAGGTGGGCGCGGCGCGCGAGGCCGACAGCGACGCCTCCCATGTCCCTCCGGTCACTCCGACATGTTTCGCCAGGTGGATGGAGCACGGCCGAACTGAAGCTGTCGCCGGTGACTTCGGGCATGCGATCGGGAACCGACTGCGGAAAGTCATCTCGGACGGGGGCTGCGATGACGAGGGCCCAGGCCCCGCCGGCGCCGCAGGCTCTCGCGCGCGGGCGGAGGTCCGGCGCCTCGTAGCAGGTGCGTCCGGGAAGAACGTCTTTCGCATGGCCACCGCGCTTCCGCAGGATATCCTCGCCGTGGCCTTGGCCGCGCGGGGCCTCCTAGACCTGGGTTTACCTCGGGGCGAGGACGCCACAGACACGCTCTGGGCACTCCGGCCCCTCGACACAAACGAGTGCCCGGTGGGCCTCCACGTGTTCCGCGCCGAGCTGCCCAGAGGGTCGCCCAGCGCAAGAATTAAGCGATTCCCGGAAAAATTAAGCTAAGTGTAAGAAATGGTTTTGTTAATTGATCATCTTTCGCAGGCGCAAGAATTGAGCTAACCATATATGTAGTTATAATCATATATCAGCATATCATATATACGCTTATACGTGTTATGTTATAAATGTAGCACTGTATATATGCATGCGCATTTAAGCGCTTGTATGTACATATAACATACGTGACAGAGAGAGCTAGGGACAGCGAGCGTGCACATAAGGCGTCTGTGCGCGACCACCGTGCCTGGCCAGGGCGCCAGCAGACCTCCATGACCTCGCAGGAGGTCGCACGCGCCATGCCAGCTCCCCAGGTGGCCCTGGCCAAGCATGGTGGTTGCGTATAGCCGCCTGCTGCGCACTCCGATCGCAATAATCCTCCTGCAACCCTGCGATCGAGCTCCATGCCCAAATTGAGGGAAAAGGCGGGATCGGGGCGCGGTGAGGGATCGAGGGGATGAGGCAAGATCGGGACGATCGAAATGGGCATGAACAAAATCGAGTACAACGACCAGCAGCATGTCTGGCTCATGTTGGACAGGACTCGCTGGTGTCGCCGCGGCATGGAGACCAGAAGGCCGCCTACTCAACAGCGGCAGGACAACATTTGTTGTTGGACATTGTACTCGTTTTTTTCCGTACACATTTCGGGCGTACAGGATGAGGATGCACGCGGGCTGTTTGCGCACGTCGGCGCTCACGGTCGATCTAGACTGCATCACGCGTCTTGACCTCTACCTTCAGTTGCTTCGCCTCGTCGACCACTTTTGCGATGCCCTGCAGCGGGGCGCGGGGATGATGACGACCGCGATGGCGAGGGGGGGGAGGAGGAGGGCGAGGCGGAGGCGAGGAGCTCGAGGAGGAGAGGAGGAGCAAAGGGGGCGCGGAGAAAAGATCGAATTGGGGCACGAATCGGGGAGACTGCACGACGTGGAGGACGGGTGGATCGAGAGAGAAAATTAGATTGAGAAGGGCGGGTTACCATCACCATCATCATCACCGCCATCACCATGGCATCATCAGCATCATCATCACCAGCATCAGCACCAGCATCATCGTCATCATCAGCATCATCGCCATCATCATCATCATCATCATCATCGTCGTCGTCATCATCATCAGCATCAGCATCACCATGATCGTCCTCATCCTCGTGTTCCTCATCATCACCAGCATCACCACCATCGACAGCATCCGCGCCCTGCATGGCCCTCAAGAGTCCCCATGCGCCCCCGCAAGCCTCGCAGAAACGCTTCGGGTAGTGGCCAGTCCAGCGGGACCAGGGGTCGTCGCCCGTCTCGGCTTTAATCTTCCTGAATTTCTCGAACAGCTCGCCCTTGGAGACAACGATGGATGAGGAGAGAGAGAGAGAGAGAGAGATAGCGATCGAGAGAGAGACAGAGAGAGAGAGAGAGAGAGCTCTAGAGAGAACGAGAACGAGAGAGAGCGGGGGAGAGAGAGCGAGCGATATAGATAGAGAGATCGACAGAGAGAGAGAAAGAGAGCCAAACAAAAAAAACATGTGTTAGAGAGTGGGGGAGAGGGAGATCGAGAGAGAGATAACAGAGGGAAGGGAGAGTGATGCGATATCAGAACGAGGGAAACATAGAGAGAGAGAGAGAGAGAGCGAGAGAAGGAGTGAGAGAGAGAGAGAGAGAGAGAGACGCGTTTACACGCAGACCAACAATTCGAAGTCCACGCGTCCACCACGTGATCGTCGTCGACACCACGCGGTCAGCCCATTCGAAAACACGCTGAGCCACGCGGGACAGGACCGTCACGATCGAACAACATGTTCATATAGTGTCGGCATCGATGTAATATACACGCGGGCCATACCATGACATATGGCGGAATCAACCGAGACAGAAACCGCGGTGTGACCTACAATGTCTGATTCGTTAGGCAACGAAAAGAGGTAGCGGAAAACATGCGTCCACGTTCTTGTGCAAGTGCACTTGGACGCTGTGCTGGATCTCAGGGTTGACCATCAGCTTCGAGGGCTTCTCCTTCCGCTCGCCGCTCACGTCGCAGAATTCTGTGAGCGAGAGTGGAGGGGGGTGCGCCAGCGACTGGCTAACCGACGCGAGCGGGAACGCGAGCGACATCACGTGGATAAGAGCCGATACCATCTCCCAACACACCCAGTTTCCCCAAGAGGCGTTGAGACGTTGGAAGGATAGGGGCAACTATAGTACGATGGGGAGGGGGCGATAGAGAGATAGAGAGAGAGAGAGAGGGCGAGCGGGCCAGTTATCTATATGGAGCGGGCGAGGCGTTGAGCGAGTCAGAGCGATAGCGAGAATATAGAGGCACGGGGGGGAGATCGAGTGAGAGACCGAGGTCTATAGAGAGAGAGAGAGAGACACCATATAGCGAGACTGTATAGAGGGAGAGCTGGGAGTTGAACGAGTGGGGGGAGAGATCAGCGAGAAAGAGAGAGAGAGAGAGAGGGGGGGAGAGAGAGAGAGAGAGAGAGAGAGAGAGAGAGAGAGAGAGAGAGAGAGAGAGAGAGAGAGAGAGAGAGAGAGAGACCGAGAGCGAGACAGGGGCCGTGGGAGAGCGCGAGGGGGAGAGACGCCAGAAATGGATACTGCACGAAAAATAAATACAGTCCTGATATATTCGTGATGATCTGCACGAAGCCCATGGATGCGAGCATGTTGACCTGAGGGGCATCGGGCGGAGGGATGGAGGCGGGGTGCATGGGGCGAGGATGACTGCACCCAGCCCTCTCACACCTCGCTCCCTCGCTCGAGATATACGATCGTGTTCTATATACGACTGGAGGCAGGGGGGCGGGTGGGCGCGCCACACATCGGGCCCTGGCGGCCTGTTCAGGGTGCGCGTAGAATTCAGAGCCGACGGGCTGGTCGAATATGCAGTGGACACCCCGAGCGTTGCAGGTCATCGCGATGCTCGAGGTAAGCTGTAGAGATCTGATAGGGCGCTCGAGTGCATATGCGCATGAGCTAGAGATATCTCGCTCTCTCTCTCTCTCTGCATTTATCTGTCCCCCTATAGCTTGACTATATCTCTCTCTCTCTCTCTCTCTCTCTTTCTCTCTCGACCGATATATATATATATATATATATATATATATGTATGTCGTTTGTCGTATCGTATTTCGAGTGCGTCTTATCTCTCCCCCATCCCTCTCCTTCTCTCTCGGAGGAGGAGGTCCCTGCGCCTATAGATCATGAGCTCATGAGCGGTCGATCGCTCGATCCATGGGGCGAACGACGCAGGAAAGCGAATCCTCAGCGATAAAGTTGGCGTCGTCCACCTGCTCATCTGACATGCTGCCCCAGTACTGAAAGGGTTGGTCACCTTCGCGCACAGCTCTGAGCTGCTTGGATCGATCGGTCCCCACCCGCCCCCATCCCTCACCCAACCTTCATGCCAAACGAAATGTACGTTGGTCACCCGTCATGGTTGAGTTCGCTCCCCCTCTACCTTCGATCCGATGCTTCACCCAGCCGTGTCCCCAGTATGGTGGATTGATCCAGCAGGTTCCACCAGGTTTGAGGCGTAGCACGTGGAGTCCTATGGGCATGAGCAATCCCCGCATCCCGCATATCAGCCCTCAAACACTCACCCCGATCGATCTGGCGTGGATCGGCTGGGTGGGGGTGGGATCGGGGCGAAGGCGAAAGCCAACTTTGGCAGAAAACCGTCCCAGCTGGAAGATCCCCAGGCCCGTGCAGATGTTCTCCTCGGGGCTGCGCAAGACGTCATACTCCTGCACGGTGTTGCCAGCCTTGCAGGGCACCCTCCAAACATCCTCCTCGTGGGCCCCGTGGGCTATCGTGTTCAGGAGGCGAGCTCGAGCTCGTCCCCTGAGCACTAGGACATCCTCGAGGCATCATCCTTATATAGGATGATGCATCGAGGCGAGATCCTCGATACCTGATCAGATATCTGTACCTGATCACGTGGCGAGGAGGGGGTTGAGGAGGAGCTTTGACGGGAGCACGCCTTTCTCACCGTTGCGGAAGCCCTGCCATGCCCCGCGAAGATCTCCAAAAAATCGAGGTCGCGCTTCACGTGTTTGATGTGCTTCTCCACGCTGTACCACACGCGGAGGCGTTCTTCCTATAGAGCGGGGGGGTGGCACGCGGGGCGGGATGGATATTTCTGGGCGTATACTTCGTTGCGCGTCATGTTGCGATATGCTCACGATCGCCGTCAACACATCATCGATGCATGGTCATCACCGCGCATGACATCATCACCAGCATCACCATCGTCAGCATCATATAACCAGCATCATCAGCATCACCAGCATCATCAACCTCAGCATCATCAGCATCATCCACCATCACCATCATAGTCACCGAGTGCATCCAACATCAGCAAACCTCAACATCACATCGCTAGCGGTCGAATCCGCTCCCGTGATCAGCGTTTTATCATCGTTCGATCGCGCTATCTCTCTCTCTCTCTCCCTCTCGGTCTCTCGCCCTGTGTCGATCATTATTCGTGTCTGGTTACTCGCTCTCGCTCTCCCTGTTCGTTGCTTGTTGTTTGTTATACCGATGTGTCTATCCCCCCTATCCTCCTCCCTGTCCCCATCCCCTCTCTCTATCGCGCTCTGTTTCTCTCTCTCTCTCTGAGCTCTCTATACACCCCTCGAGGTCCCGTTCCTGTCTCGACCACCCTCTATCGTTCTCTATCTCCATCTCTCTCTCTCTCTGTCTAGCTCTCTCCCTCTACCTCGCTCGCCCTTCTATCGTCTCGCTCTCTTTCTCATGCACGGTCTATCTCCCTAACTCTATCTCCCTCTCTCGCTGTCTCGTCGCTCTCTCGCTTAATCGAGCCCGCCCGCCAGTCTGTCCTGCCCGACAGGTTCTTCTTTCCACGTGTCAGCGTACAGTTTCTTGACAAAGGTGTGCACGCCCACGGGCGCAGCCTGCGACGGTCGCGATTGGTTAGAAACAAATTGAGGTGGAGAGGTTACGAGTGGGATGATAGTGAGCTCGACAGCCTGTTCGCTCAGCTCCCTC